GGCCAATGGGAGGAGGGAGTCTGAATGTATCTCTCTGCTCCCCATGTAAGAGCCATATTGCTTAATTAACATGGAAAAATATGTTTTAAACAGCAAATTACTTCCCCTAATGGGAAGAGGGCCCCAGAGAGCATCAATGACCCTACCTAGGTTCACCCTGGGGTGGGAGCTATCAGACAATAATTCCTTCCCAGTAAGGTTTGCAGCTCACTGGCCAGGTGCACGGGCCAGCTGCAGGGCTTCATGTGCCCTGGAACAACCTAAAAAGTGTCTTTCCCAACTGTCTCGGAGGCATGCTGTCTCATGAGACACCCTCAGCACCAAAGCACCTAAGGATGCTTGTATATGGCAGTGAATGCTGGGACATGCCCTGGGATCAAGTTGAACAGCAAGAGAAGAGAAAAGCACCCAGGCAGCCCAGGCCAGTGCACCGTCTCCATCACTAAGCACCAGCTTCCTCCATCCTAGTGGTGGGGAAACATGGACGCTTGCAGATAGAAAGCTGCACACAGGAACTGGTGGGCATGCTTAGATAAGCCTTGCAAAATCTTCTTAGAGGGCATGCGCCCCACCGACAGCCCCAGGGTCTTGGCTGGCCCATCTAACTGGCTGCATCATAAAGAAGGATGTTCTTTCCAAGGCATCCCTCTGCCAAAGTTGTCCCCTGGATTCACAGAGCCACTGGTTTGGGAAGCTGAGCTGCAGTGCATCCAGAGTTACAGCTCAGTTCTGAGACACTAGAGGTGCTCACTCCTGCAGGCGGGCTCTGCAGATGTGGAGGAGGTTGGCTCCTCCTTGTACCCTGTCCCATCTAGGCAATGCTCTCAGCTGAACCCAGCAAAGACCTGGCGCTGGCCGTTGTAGTTGGCCGGGGTTTGGTACAGGGGATGGTAGGGTTGAGACCCTGGCAAGCGTCAAGCTGGCATCGCCCTGCAGCCCCCGGCCCCCCCACCTCATGTCTGATGGCTTTAACACCCATCCTGTCACAGGCAAGAAGGGCCCCAGAAGCTGGGTCCTTTCCCATAGGCCTACTGGAGAGGTCCCAAGGAGCCATTCTGATGTCAGGAGACATCACAGCCATACTGGAGGGTGCCCCCACACCCGCCAGTGCATCAAACCCTCCAGGGACAGGAGTTATGGGGCTGCAAGTGAGCCGACCTTGGGTGCTGGTGCACTCTCCTTCCCACGATGCAATGGCCCTGGGGAATGACCACGCACAACCACCAGATGTCAAAGTGATGAAGCAGCCCCAAACTCCCAGTGCTACACTGGCAAGGGGGGACCAGGACAATCCAGAGGTTCCATGGCAGCTGGCTCCCCCAGACCAGCCCATGAAGACTGTGGTGAGTGGAATCCCTCTTCTGCCACGGCCCCAATCCTGTGCTGGATACTGGGGCTCATCTCCTGGCAGAAGGGGATACTATGCACCCCTCACATGGCCAACCTGGGGAGACACATCACTTCCTGCAGTCTCTCTTTCCCCCACCTCTGCCCCGCTCTGTGTGGGTTTGCTCCCAGGCCAGGGCACACTTTGCCAGCCGGTTGCTTTAGATTCCTCCAAGTGACAGAATAGCTACAGGGCTATTCTGTCTATGCACGGGGCAGTATTTAGGTGCAGAGACATCGCCTGGCAAATAAGTGTGCCTGCAGACCCAGGAGCAGCCACGCTGTATCTGTGCCTGAGAGCAGCCAAAGTGGCTGCCCAAGGAAGTATGGGTGACACCTCTCTCACATATGCTCCTCACCTCTAGGGATTTGCATCTCAGCAACTGTCCCAGAGGTTATTTCAATGGATTTAGTAACCTTCAAGAGGTTGTTTTTCCACTAACTTGCCTGGCTGCCTCTCAAACACAATTCTAGCTTCCAAACTCCTTCAACAAGGAGTCCCACCAGTAGATATGACTAGGAGAAAAACCACCACCTTTGATTCATTTTGAAGCACTTCCAAGTTGCATTCAATCCCCAAATTTTGTCTTGGACTATGAGGAAGCATTCCTCTTCTGGTCTGGATCAGCCCCAGGTTGCCAATGTGTGCCATGCTCCCAAAGGACCCCATGCTCTGTCCCTGCAGCAGGAACCTCATGCCAATGCAGCTGTGGCCATCCAGGCTTGGTGGCGTGGGCAGCTGGTCCGCCGGGCGCTGTGGCAGGCAATGAACAGCGTGCTCAGCATCCAGGCCTGGTGGCGCAGAACCATCGCCCGGCAGCAGGAAGAGAGGCGGCTGCAGGCGCTGTCGGCGTACTTGAGGCTTGAGAGGGCAAGTGTCATCCTCCAGGCCCATGCCAGGATGTGGAAGGCCAGGACCCAATACAAGAAATACCAGAAGGCAGTTCACACCATTCAAAATGGCTGGGGGAAGAGTACAGAGCCGGGGGCACTGGCCAGCCATAACATAGAGGATGGTGTGGACCTGAATATCGAGATAATCATTGGCTAAGGAACTCCTGCTACAGCTCGCATGCTTTGGCAAGTCACAGGAGGGGAATAAAGTACTTCCCAGCCTGGCCAGTGTCCAATTCAGAGGGAATGAGTTTGCCATGGCCCAAGTTGCAAATGCTTCTGCTGAGGTGCTGGTGTTGGGCAGGCTCAGCAAAGTCCTGCACAGCCTGAGATGGGGGAGACCTCAAGGGGTAGCCCAGGCACTGGCAGGGCTGCTGATCTCCAAATTAGTAGCTATGTTGGTCTGGGAACACCATGGTAGAGAAATAACCCCTAGTGAAAGCCTCATGGCTCTCCCATCTGATGGGCCATCATCCCCTCCAAAGCCCAGGGGGCACAGTATAACCTCAGAGCAGGCAGGCCATGATGGCAGCAAGGGGCTGGTGTTGCAGGGTGCAAGAGAGAGGTGGGTGGCTATACCCGCCCTGTAGACCTGTAACTAGGTTACCCCCCCACTGCCATTTCTACCAACCACTCAGGCCAATCTGAGACCCTCTTGCCTGCATGTGGGGTACCTGGATGGAGACGTCGCTGTAGGAACCCCCGATGACGCCAGTGATGGCTGTGGGCACATCATCATGGACAGCGTAGGAGCCATCAGGGCAGATGTGCTCAGAGCCATCCACCTTGGTCAAGGATGCGCGGACGAAGTCAAGTGACTGTTCCAGGGCATACGTGTCCTTGGAGCAGGTGTCGAGGATGTGGGCACCTAGCGTGACCCCTGGCAGGATGCTTGGGTCCTTGTTGATCTCATCCAGGGCGAAGAGCATAGCCTCGAGGCGCTGGATGCCCCGGTGCTCATTGATTTTGCCGCAGTCTTCACTCCCCACACCTTTCTCATGCACAGGAAAGAGGCCCCCGATGACCAGGTCTCCGTCAATGCTGATCTCCTTCTTGCCAGCCAGGCCATGCCCACTGGCCAGGCAAGCAGCTGAGTGCAGCAGCCAGATGCAGAGGGCAACTGGGACCACCATGGGGTGCATCAGTGCTGGTAGGGGGACATGCATCAAACCCTGTTGCCAGTTGCCACCCATCAAGTTGAGGATAGCTGGTCCCAAAGCATCAGGTGGCAGGGGATCAGAGCAGCACGGTGTCAGGAGGAGGGGACAGTGCTGCCTGGGCAGAGCACTCAGCACCTGGAAAAGCAGAGAGAGGAGACAGTGGGTCTGAGGGCTGCAAAAAGAGTCAATGACCATCTCCCAGCAGCGCTGGTACTGCTAGGGGATGCTCAGAAATATCATGCCTGGAGACTGAGCGTCAGGCTTGGGGAACCTAGAGAGCCTATTGCTCTTCCAGCATCTCCAAGGATGAGCCTATTTGTGTTCTCTACCCCAACACACCCACACCAGCCCCCAAATCCTGTAAGGAGAAGCCCCCCCATACCCTGCAGAGGGGTAGGAGAGAGCCAAGCAGATATGGCAGCCCCAGCAGTGACCCAGAACTTCTGGTATACGAATAAGTGACACAGGTCTGGAGTTGGGGGTATGTAGTCTGATCCTACCATAAAAACCTTCCAGGAGGAGCTGGCATGTCTAAGGCATGCTGGGAGCCAGCTCCTGCAGCAGCACCGAGCAGAGTGGCCAGGTAGGGGAGTGATTTTTCTGGCCCATTAAAAAATTAGGGTGGGGGGGAAGGCAGCCAGGGATGTCACCTAAGGACAGGAATGTCACCCAGGGGCAGGGACATCACCCAGGTACAGGGATGTCACGAAGGGCTGGGATGTCACCTGAGTCAGGGATGTCACCCAATCCAAGGATGTCACCCAGGGGCCTTACACCATCCAGAATAGGGGCTTTCCCCCTATGGCAGGGATGTCACCAAGGGTAGAGAGGACACCACCCAGGGCAAGGACATCACCCATGAGCAGGGTTGTCACATAAGGGCAGGAATGTTGTCCAGGGCAGAGATAGCACCCGTGGGCAGGAATGTTACTCAGAAGCAAGGCCATCACCTAGGGCAGAGACACCCAACGCTGGCTACAAGCAGAGCACCCTGACACAAACCACAGCACTGCCTGCCTGGATTGGGCCTGCAGCTATGTCCCACAAATGAGCAGGACATTGCTGCTAAGTCTCATTTGCCAGCTGGACTGCCAAGCACTGGGCTGACAGGCGTGGACAACTCCTGCATTCATTGTATTTTAGACAGTGCTTTTTCACCCCCTTCCTTCCTCATATGCTAAAATTGGAATTTTCAGGAAAAATAAATGCCAGGTTTGCTTGCTGCTGCTGCATAAACCACAATGGAGCTAAGAAATCAAAGACTTTTGCAACAGACATGCCTTTTTTTGGATATAAATGAAGGCTCTTCAGAGATTAGTTGTCTTTTCCCAAAACATGGGAGAGTTTTGTTTCCCATTTAAAGTCAGCTTCTGAAATCCTGCAAGTCTGGGGTTTAGGCATCTGGGCCATGAAAGTAGGAGCCACAAAGAGACCCACAGCAGCCTCAGGATGCTCCAGCACTGGTGTGGCACTGCCTGCATTACAAGCAGGTCCCTGACAACCTGGTGCTACACAAATTTGTAGCAGTGGGGAAAGGAAGCTGGATGATTATGGTGCTCGTGGGGACATGTGGGACCTGCAACTGGACACCTGGATGGGAACAATGGATGGTGATGCCAGATGGTGAGACTGCATGGTGATGCTGGATGGTGATACTGGATGGCAGTGATGGACGGCATTGCTGGACAGCGATGCTAGACAGTGGTGCTGGATGCTAATGTTGGACAGCGATACTGAATGGCGATGCTCAACAGTGATGCTGGACAGCGATGGTGATGCTGGACAGCGATGTTGGATGATGGTGCCAGATCATGATGCTGGATGGCAATGCTGAACGGCAAAGCAAGACAGCAATGCTGGATGGTGATGACAGACCATGATGCTGGACAGCAGTGCTGTGCCCCCTGCTATCCCACACTAAGGCGGCTCTTCACCCTGTTCCCACCCCTGGGACACATCCAGGGGCACTTCTTGATGCCCATAAGTGCACGGTCAGTGCCCACAGAGGTGCCCTGAGTGCAGAGATGCTCACAGTCAAGGAAGCAAGCTCTAAGAAGCACCCTGAGAGAGCAGATCCTTGAGGCTTCAGTGCCAGCTGGAAGGCAACCAGGAGCCAGTGGTGATTCTTCCCAGCTGTCAACTTCCCAAAGAGGGGAGGAGCAGTGCAGTGAAGGGTGTAATTTGGGAGGGGTGGAGAGGGCAAGCAGCTGGAACCAGCATGAGGACTTCCTCCCTCATGCCCCAAAATTGCAGGCATCTCTCCCTGGCATGAGCTGAGCAGTACCCTGTCTCGCATGGGTGACTTCTGCCTGCAATGAGCCCCTAGCCATCTGGGGGCATTTCCCACCCAGCCCCCCAATTCAATGGAGCTCAGAAAAAAGGCTGAGAAAGAGTTCCTGCATAATTCAAGCAGTGAACACATTTAAGAGATGGGTACGTTGCTCCCAGGGACTCCTCAAACAGGAAAGAGGCCGAACACACATCAGTTGTGGATGGAGTCCAGTGGCAGGCTGAGCTCTGGTGCATGGGGTCAACAATGAGGGAATATCCCTGCTCCTTGGGGTCTAGCTCTCCCTAGGGCAGCCAGGAAGATCCATTGGATGAAGGGCATCTTTAGGCTAGGCTCTACTGAAAGACAAGTCCCAAAACATCATCTGCCCAGCAACGAACTCAACCAGGGCATCCATGTGCTGGATTATGGGCACCCCCCAGGGCTGCTTGGGCGAGGTGGCACCGTGCTGGAAGGGAGGGCAACCTCTCAGGAATATCTGGAGAATATCTAGGGAAGTGAAGCTGCAGCTGGCAGAAAGGCTTGGTGGCATCGTGAGCGCACCAAGCAAGGCAGAGCCAAGTCCATCCCAATGGACATAGTGCAGTGAGGGACTCCTATCTGCTCCCAGCTGCATATGGCTTCCCCTCTCCAAAACTTCAGCAATAATAAATGTTTACAGCTTGCAATCAGTCCTACATGCCCTGAGAACATCCTAACCACCCCCCAGCAACAAAACTGTGGGTAGACCACAACCTGCTTATATCTGACACCATCCCATTTAGGGGCAGAGTGGGATTGGAGAGGACAGGGGTACAAAGAGGCACTAATCGGGAGCTCAAGCCCTCACACAGGGACCACAGGGAGTGAAAATCCAGCCTTGCCCCACCTCCCAGAGAGGACACACAGCCCACATGTGCACCTGTGCTCACACATGCACTGCATCATGGCTGGACTCCTCCCTTGGGGCCAGTGACTCTGTCACTGCATGTATACACACTTCTGTATGATTATGCACTGTGTGTACGCTCACACATTGGTATAGGTTACACACTGCATATTCACACAGCTCTACAGGGAACACAGTGTGTGTGTGCATATGTCTGTACAGAGATGCTCTGCGTGTGCACACTCACACATGACTGCAGGGTGTACATATCTGTATATGCATGCACCATATGTGTACTTGCACATCAATATATTAGTATACAATGTGCACACATCTGTACGGTTATGTACTCTCTGTGTGTGTTCACATCAGTATGGGGTACACTGCAGGTATCTGTGCAGGGCATGCACTGTGTGTGCATATACATCTGCATAGGTATGGACTCTGTGCATATATGCATATCTGTACTGATAAGCACTGTGTGCCTAGATGCACATCTGTGCATGTAGGCAACTGTGTGTACACCCATCTGTAGAGCTATGCACTGTGCATGTGCACACATCAATGTGGTGCACACTGTGCCAACATCTGTACAGTGCATGCGCTGTGTGCATACACATCTGTATCTACTCCAGGTGTGTGCACACCTGTATAAGGGCTGCACTGTGCAGGTGCACGCATGCTATATGGCCCCTCTGGGAGGTGGTGTGATGACACATGCGTGTGCATGTTGCCAGGAGCTGACGTGCATGCACATGCTGAGCAGGCTGGGAAGCTGTGGAGGGAAGCAAAGCTTGGAAGAGTCTCTCCCATCACCTCCTTTCAGGGTCCCAGCTGGTCCCAGAGGGCCGTGGCCACCTCTACTGGGCTCTCCCCCTCTCCAGGATCTTCGCAGCCACTCTTCTCCCCCAGCAGCTTGCAAGCCCTGGCACACTGCAGGGTCGAAACACCCTGCTCTGGGGCTCTCGTCACATCACCTCTGACCATTGTAACCATTTGGCTCTTCTCATCCAGCCTGGAGAGAGCAATGAGTAGCCAGGAAAGCAAGGAAGGAGAGAAAGCAAGGAAAGAGGAACCTAGACAGGTTCAGCCCACACAGCTCTGGGACTGTGCCCCCAGCAGCAAGGCCAGAGAGGAGAGTGCTGCCCACCCCACACCAGCTCTGCTGAGGAGCTTGGACAAGGATAAGGTGTCACATGTTTCACTAATCTATCCATCCCATCCCCTCCCAAACTAGCCCTGGGCTCTAATCACTCTTGCAGCCCACAAAAACCCCATCACTGCCCCGGCCAAGGGGAGCTGCAGAAGGGAGGTACAGGCACAGCACTGTCTCACAATGACGCCCAGCCATGGCATCATCCTGCCACAGCATCATCTGTGCCCCAGAGGAGAGCGGGACGCTGTCCCCATTTGTGCCAGGGCCGTCCCTTCCACTTTCTTGCCCCACAGCCACTCTCTCTCCTTCAGGGTGCCCCAGGGGCACCAGCCTGCCCATGCCAGGGTGCTCCTGGATCTGGCAACACAGGTGACCATGAGCATTCCCTTGCTGGGCAGAAAGCAAGAAGAAGCAGCGAAACATCAAGGGAAAAGGGGACCACAGAGGCCCCGTCCCACCAGTGGCTCTGGGTGCCTGGCTGCTGTGGGCTCCATGCTGCCGGGTCATTGCTAGGACGGGGACCTCCTCGACAGGCTCTTGCTGCCGAGGCTCTCAGGCAAGGCGCCCTGCACCCTACAGGCCTCGGCGGCTGACACTGGGGTCCTGCCCTGGGCAGGGAGCAGGCATGGCACGGGGCGACCGCAGGACCAGCGCCCAGCCCTTGCTGAGGTCGTATTGCCTAATGGTTAAGCTCCAGCCCCTCCGCCCCCCAAACACACACAGAGCCAGCCCAACCGGCGCCGTTGTCCCCGCCGCGGTGCCGGTGCCGGTGT